CTGACAAAAGGTAGGGGGTCGGTCATGGTCAAGTGGAATCCCGAAGCGGAGACCGCATTTCAAAGGCTGAAACAAGCTCTCTGTGCTCAACCTGTGCTTGTGACCCCAGATTTCACAACAGAGTTTGTGGTACAGACTGATGCCTCTGATGTGGGACTAGGTGCTGTCCTGTCCCAAATCAGAGAAGGGGAGGAGCACCCTGTGGTCTACCTAAGTATAAAGCTCAACAAACATGAGAGAAACTATGCCATTGTGGAGAAGGAATGTTTGGCCATCAAATGGGCCTCGGAGGCCCTGAAATATTATCTGTTAGGAAGACCGTTCAAGTTGGTTACTGATCATGCCCCGCTCAAATGGATGTGTGATAATAAGGAGAAAAACAGTCGGGTGACAAGGTGGTTTCTCGCGCTACAAGTGTTCAAATTCACAGTGGAACACAGAGCGGGGAAAACTGCAAAGTAATGTAGGTGCCCTTTCCCGGGTCCATTGCCTGGTTGGGACAGTTGCTCAGCCGCCGGGGCTTGAGCAGAGGGGGGGATATGTGTGACAGTATGAACGGCAAAGTGATGGATGGACGATATGTGTCACCTCGCATGAGGTCATACTGTGAGGTGTAAGGTGGAGTCCACTCCGGGTTTTCGGGGCCACAATGGCAGAGGTGGTTCCGGACCAGAGTTTGGGCTCCACTAATGACCACCAACAGGTGATACAAAAAGGGCAGGGCTGGAGCAAGGAGTTGCTGGTGGCCTGGGACTCAGAGAGGTATTCTGAGAGAGCTGTGTGTGTACTATACCTACAAGAAAAGGTTTGCTTTTGTTTTGTTTTTGGTGACAGGGAGAAGCCCTTCACCTCTGAGAGAGGAAACGTCTTCTGTTTAGTTAGTGCCTGGATGGCAAGGGTTTATTTTGATGTTTTGTTTTATTTTGATATTTTCTGCAAACCTTTTAAATAAAACTGACAACCAGTCAGATTTTGACGAAAGCCTGCTGTGCGGTCTACCTTTTTCCCAGGGAAGGAGATCCCCCACCTAAGCTAACCCCACAATAGTTACAAGACCACATGTCTGATTGCTAGGAAAATGGACAAAAAGTTATGATGGCGGTTCGATTTAGATTTCTTTCTTTGGAGTCATGTTGCCATAAATGATCCTTTTTAGCATTGGTAGTGTTACTCTATGCTAACGTAAATCTCAACTTCAGGATTACTAACTCACTATACCATATGTGTACCTCAGTTTTGCCACCAAACCCACACTGTAAATTTGTAACTGTTACTTTTAAGTACCATATACAGTTTTTTTCAGTGTATGTAATATCTTTCCTCCTCTCCAAGTCCCTGCTTGCTGCTCACCTCACTTGAGAAACTACTACATTTCTGTCTGTCAGAAGATTTGTGTCCACAGCCATGTATAAAGAAATGCACATGTGCATACTCTTGCGCATGCCACACAAAGGCAGAACTTTAGCACATCAGAGTGGATGAGTGTGCACATGAACATAGACGTTTTTGGCACCCAGTTGTCTATTTAAAGCTGTACAGGAGTGCAAAAAATCCCTGAGTGGTTACCATTCTGACCCAGCTTCATTTGACTCTTCTTACTCTTGATACCCCACTGGTGAACCAACCTTGTCTCCTGACTGTTTTTTCTGGTACCTGCTCTGCTTGCTTGAAATTGTTCCCTTTTGTTCCCTGTTTCTGCACTTCTGTTGCCTGGTTGTTGCCAACCCCTGCCTGCATGACCATGCACCAGTGCTCCTGCTTCTACCAGCAACCAGTTTACCTGCTGCACAGACATCAGTGGGTCCTGGCCAGGCATTCTGTGCCATGTTCTACCAACTGCAGAGGGGACAGGAGGTGTAGGTGAAGCTCTTTTGTCAACCTGGCATTAGCCAGGTATGTGCAAGGTCCCATTACTGAGAGTCTAGTGATATGAGGGAAAATGCACTACTGGAAGAAGCAGGGCTGCTGTTAGAAACCACGGGGCCCCATACAACCAAACTGGCAGTACTGATCACTCATTGTGGTCATTCAGGAAAGGAAGGGGCTGGTTATTTTGACATATTTATCGGACCATTCCCCCACTCTCCATCCTGAATGATCCTAATGTGTGCTTGCAGCTGAAAGGAGAGGAGGGAAGTCAGCACTGTGGGGGCCCAGGCAGCTGCGTGAAACAAATGTGCACAGGGAGGGTGATCGGCATGGTGAGCGGGGCAATTCCTGGAACCGATCCCCTGAAATAGGTTCTGCAACAGCTGAAAGCCAGCTAGGGTAGAGGGAGAAAAATCCAGCTTTCAGATGCTGCAGAGAGAGCCATACAAAGGATTGATTCCAATAATTCCCCCCCACCGTGCCGATCACCCTCCCTGCCCACTTCTGATTCACCCAGCTGCCTGGGCCCCCCGCTGGCCTGGGCCCCGTACAGAAGGACTGTGGTACCCCCTTATCCACGACCCTGACTGGAAGTGTTTATTAAAGCTATTTATTAAAGCAATTATTACTTTTGTTAAATCCTTTAAGTTCTGCTTTAGAGGTATTGTGTAATTCAGTGATTTAGCTTTACGGTCTGATTGCAAACAAACATAAATGAACATTGCTTTTGTAATAACCACAGGATGGAGTGACCATTATATGCTTACGATGCAGTAAGACAGAAGACATAGCGATTGACAAAACCCACACAAGTACATCCCTAATAAAAGCAATCCATATAGTAGCAGTTTTATGGATGTGTTTCTCTGTTTATCACACAACAGCAGGATATTAAGTTCTGTCTTGTTTTTGATACAAGAGCATTACCGTGTTAATCTGTGCTGAACTCTTGAGACCACTAAAATTGAAGAATTCGAAGTGTTGACACTCTTAGAACATTCTCTGTTGCTGCACACGTTAGCTCTGATAAAGAAAAACACAGTCATCTGTGAGTTTACTCTGCTGACATGTATGTTAGTGCTTTTTATCAACAAATGAATGAATAATACCAAAATAGGTTCTAGTTGCTGAATATGATAATGCATATGTGATTATTTAAACTACCTGTAGCTAAAAGCAAAAACAAACCTTTTTTTTTTCAATGGGATTTTAGCTAGACAATCAGATACTGTTTGGCATACTTTTCTTTGCCACGAACAGTTCACATGTTACCTTTATTTCAGGATTCACTGGAAACATTTTTAAGGTTTGTCTGCAGCGCGGGTGCAGCACAGTGTACCTGGCATTTTCATGCAGTTACCAGAGCTTTCCCATAGATTTCTATTAGATCAGACATTTTTGGTGCACTTTCTGAAAGCATACCAAAGATGCATCATGCAGAACTTTCAGCCAAACTACAGCATGGCAGTGGTAAACTGCCCCAAGGCATTTATATGAACTATTTTCTGCACAAAAATGAAGTTCATAAGAAAGGTGATGTGTACGGTCATAAATATGTCACAATGTGGTAAATAAGTCATCAAGAATGATAGGTGGTGAGATTTCTGTCATCTTTGAAAGGGCAATACTCGCCTCACTCTGGTCATTGTCCAAATATGGCCACTGACAGAACTGACAATATACTAATTACACTGGGCAGGAAGGGGTTATCATCTGTAGCTATCAAAGGGTTAACTGTGTGCTGTGTGCGCTTTACTGTGTGCCGTGTTTTTACTAGGGAGGCATGCTGTTTTGTATCTCTCTGCTGTGCAAAAAAGATACAAAACATGTCCATGCTGACAGGAGAGAGACCTGTGTTTTTTACACACAGGGCTCTCCCCTGTCAGCTTTACCTGATGATCGACAAGTGCTGGCCGGGAACTGCCGACCAGGAGACTGTGATTGATATCCCTAGCCAACAATAGCAGCATGGGTAGGACGGCACACATACCGCCTACCTGGAAATGCAAATCATGTATATATGCATGCTTTTGCGCAGCCCTGCTGCCCTGTAGCAGTACTTCTGCTATAGGGCGGTGGGAAAGTGGTTAAATTATATCTCTCCAATAAGTTTTGAAAAGATAACATAACATCATTACTATGCAATTGATGTAGATGAATAATACCCGCTCGTCGCCAAGTTTCAAAATCTGAAAGTGTGGACAATTCAGGAAGGCTAGGGTTATTCCACATGGGCATATATTGCGTATATCCTTTATAAGATGTGAGTTCCCTAACAGGTTCCCAAAGACGATGAAACATATAAAATATGGAAACTTCCAATGTATCTGAAATTAACTCAACACCAACAGGTCCACCAAAGGGGCTTCCGGAAGTATAGACAATAAAGGGCATTGAATGGGGTCTAGAATATTAACTGAATACCACCCTTACAAGTGTTGGAGTTGGGAAGCTAGAAAACACAGATTGACATTAGGGACTGATAGGATCAATTCCTGTCTGTAGCCCAAAAAATGTCCTTGAATATTTTCCCACCAGGCCTAGGAAAAATAAAGCTCCAGACACCGAAGTGTGCAAGCTAAACCTCTGAAAGTTTAATGCATGACAAGAACTGTTATACAGAACTTAGTGAGTTTTGCTAAATTTTAGGATGACCAATGAAACATTCCACTCTTATCAAAATAGTTACGTGAAGAACAGAAACTGCAAATAGCTGAGGGATACCATATAAGGTAGCTCTGTTTACAGTGAAATTAAACTATTCTCAGAAAATGAGAGAGAAGTTACAAACACAACTCAAAACCAAAAACTAACTGTTCACACATCTAGAAATAAAGGCATAGCACAAAATGGATGCCAGTTAAATAAGACATATTTCCTTGCAGGGACTGCCAGCCCCCCACAGTCCTTGGGGAGCTGAAGGGTAGTAACTTTACTTCTAGGGTGCCCTTGATTCCAAATAAGTTCCCAGAACAATGTATCTGTCAGGAATGGACTGGCCAGCAATGGTGGGACTCACCTGCCTTTTGATCTGCAGTACCAGGGCTGGCCAGCGGGTGCTCCCAGCAATCAGAGACTCAACTTTGCAGCCAGCTAACACCTGGAACTGATTATGCTGGGGTATTTAAGGGATGGCCAGACCCACAGACTCTGCCTTGGTGCTGTGTTTGTCCTGGGCCCTGTATCCTGTTTCTGTCCTAATCCTGTTTCTGAACCGCTCCTGACTTCTCCTGCTCTGATCCCGGCTCGCTCCTCACCATCCCTCTGCCTGACCCTCTGTACCACGCTGCTTGCTACCTGTTCTGATCCCTGGCTTGTGACCCTGACCATCCCTCTGCCTGACCCTCTGTACTATGCTGCTTGCTACCTGCTGAACCTGGCCTGTGAACCAATCTCGCTTGCTCCCCTTGTACCTACCTGCCCTATTGATATTGACCCGGCCTGCCTGACGACGCTTGCTTGTATGTACTGTTATCTGTGGGTGGTTGGTTTGGTTTGGTTTGGTTGCACTGTAATATGTTTTAGTATTGCACTGCGTTTATGTTTGTATGTTAGTGTTAATAAATTATATTGTTTATAACATATCTGAGGTCTGCGTTTCCCTGCGTCAGCCACACACCTCTGGTCACACCTGGGAGCCCTGACAGTATCTATGTTTCTGAATGTTTTTGAGGGATTCAAACTGGGCAATTATGTAATAGATATAACATCCATATCATTTTTATTAGATTAGCCCTGCCAATAACTGACAAAGGTAATTTACACCAAGTTCTGCCAGTTTGTTTCAACCTGGATAAAAGAGGGTCAATGTTTATGGACAAGTATTCTGAAGCTCTAGGTGTAATGTGAACGCCTAAATATTTAAAGGAAGAAACAACAGGTTGGCCTCAAAGGGTAAAGCACCAGGTAGTGGGTCAAGCGCATAATAATCTACTTGTCCCAGTTAATGGTGAACCCAGAAAATAACCATATGCCGAGATAAGAGACATGGAAGCCATCAAAGAGGAGAAGGTGTCTCCTAAAAACTGGAGGGTGTCATCTGTATATAAAGCTACCTTATCCTCCCCCATCCTTCTATGAAATCCCACTATGTCGGCAGATTGTCAATTTTCAGCCACAAGGGGCTCCAAGGCTAGGGCAAAAAGAAGGGGTAAAAGAGGACACTCCTGCCTTGTGCCCCAATGAAGTGGAATAGGCTCCGAAATATGTCCATTAACCTTTACTCTTGTGGAGGGGGAGAAATAAATGAGCTTAGCCCATATGACAAAAGAGTCCCAAAACCAAATTTCCTCAATACTTGCTATAAGAAGTTCCATTCAATGCTATCAAATGCCTTAGCCACATTGAGTGACAAAATAGCCTTATTGCCCATATTGTCTGTGGGAATCTCCAGGTTGAGAAAAAGTCTTCTAAGATTAATTGCAGTGAAAAAGGGATTCCATATAGTTCAATAAACGTTTTGCCAACATCTTCGCCAAGAGCTTAACATCCGAAGTTAATAGCGAGATTGGATGATATGATTCTGGATATAAGGGATTTTTACCTGGTTTTAATATAGCAATGATCACAGCCTCATTCATAGATTTAGGAAGATCCATCCCACCCCAGGGCTTAGTTATTAGGGACTCCTGTGACTGCTGCTTGGAGTTCCTCAAACTTAAAGGGATCCTCAAGTGTGTCATGAGCTGCAGTAGCTAAAGCAGGCAGATGGATATTGCGTAAAAATTCTGCTAAGGAATTCTCCTCATAGGACACTTTACTGCTATACAGTGTTTGATAGAAATCACAGAACACTTTTGATATAAGTGGAGTAGTATTCATCGCTAAGTCAAGGGAATCATTTATTTCAGAAATATGAGTTAAAGGATTCAGGGCCTTGACTATCATTGCCAGCAAGTGACCAGTGTTCGCTCCTTCCTCAAAGTATGCCTATTGCAAGAAAAATCATTTTTGCTCTGCTCTTTTTTTGTAGGAAAAGAGAGGAGTATGTCTTCTGTAATTGTTCCCAGATCAACTGATTCTCTTTAGAGGGAGCAGTTATGTAGAAAGCTTACACGTCAGAGATTGCATTAGCAATTTTTTTTTCTTGAACTCTATATTTCTGTTTCATTTTTGTTATTTGGGAGATGAGGATAGCCCGGAGATAAGCGTTCAAGGTATCCCACATTAGTGCTAGAGCAGTCTGGGGTTTGTGGAACTGAAAAAAGATTCTTTAACACACAAGACACCTCCTCGTGAGATGGGAACAGAGACAACCAGTATGGGTTAACCTTCCACAAAGTACAGCTATCTGAAGTATGCAATACTAATGTCAAAACTAAAGAGGAGTGATCAGATAGCCCTCTAGCAGCATAGTGTGCGCCAATGACAACTGGTAACACTAGTGGTGAACCCAACACTAGATCTATTCTGGAGAGAGCCATGTGCAATCTACAGAAGCATGAGCATTGCTTAACTGTAGGATTGAGAATTCGCCAAAGATTAACAAGTCCTAATTCTTTGATATATTTAGCAAAAGAGGTACTATTCAATTGCTTCCCCTGTGTATACAGAGCTAAATTTATCCAAGGAAGATGTTAAATAAGTGTTGAAGTCTCCCATGAATATCCAGGGGAAGTCAGGTTTGTCTGAGGCAAATTTTAGAAACGTACTTATTACAACAGGTGAGTAAAGTGGGAGGATATACAGTTGATATAAAGTCTACACTTTAGGTGTGCACACTTTAAGGGTGTGCACACTTATGCAACCATGTTATTTTAGTTTTTTATGTTTACACCCCCCCCCCTAAAAAAATTCAGTTTTTCAACTGAGTTGTACAGTTTATAGGTCACATTAAAGGAGGAAAAAGTTCTGAAATTATTTATCTTTGTTTCATTTTTTTACATCACAGAAACCTGATATTTTAACAGGGGTGACTTATTTGCCAAGACAAGTGACTTACGGTATATCGTACAGTACAGAAAAATAAATCTGCCTTTTGTGTCCACGTGTACCTGCCTGCAGGAGATGTCTACCTCTATTATACCAGTATACCTCTATAGCAATTAAAATGGATACCCCCTGGAATAGGAAGCATAAACGCAATGATATTGAATGTGGTATTGAGCTTTCTTCAGAAAGTAGATGATATCCTTATTTAAATGAGTCTCCTGCAGGAAAATAACCAATGGAAACAGGCCCTTAAAAGTAGAGAACATGGTAAAACACTTATTTGGGTCTCCGAGACCACATATATTCCAGGATACCATAACAGTGTTGGAATTGCTCATCTTAGAAAAACAAATAAAATGGGAAAGAGAATGAAGTCATTTCGGAGTCTGCATGGACCTGCACAAAACAATGCAATTAAAAAAGGGTGGTCAAGAACGGTAAACTTTATATTGTAAGGGTTGAGACCTGTAGAAGAGATCACACATCTCCCCCAATTAAACCCAGAAAAGTTAGAGAACAGGTGGACAATAGCAGAATTGAGCTTCATTGCACAGTTCTAGGAGATCGCAGAGCCTAAAAAGTTTTCTTCTTGGAATAGATGTGTGCCAAGCTGTAGTAGCTTTATCAGAAAAAGGAGACCAACTAAAAAATAGGTAGACGAAAAAAAAAGAAGATCAAATGGAAAGTCAAAAGCTTGCAAACAATTGACTTGCTCCACACAGGAACCACTACTAAAGGGGTCACCGGTTGCATGAGATGGTGCTAGGAAGTACCGTCTAAGAACTCCCTAAAAAACCATAGCAGTTGTAACTAATGGAGTCTTCACAAAATGCTTTTGAGGCCAACATATCCTTGGTGAGGTTTCTCCAAACAGAACAATTTGCTAATGTGAATTTAGATTCTTTATACACCAGCAACAGGAAGAAGGTGTCAAAGTAGATCGAATACACTGACTTTCAGCAAAAACTTCCAGGATGATTCCTGTCGGAGCCAAAGTCCACAGAGTGTGTTTTGTTATGGTCCAGCCAGTTAGCTTCAGCCACAGGAGTATCAAAGTAGTGTGTGGTTCCGTTGATCACCACACAAAGTTTGGCAGGATACAGTGCATCCCGAAAGTATTCACAGCGCTTAACTTTTGGCACATTTTGTTATGTTACAGCCTTATTTCAAAATTGATTAAATTAATTTTTTTCCTCAAATTTCTACAAACAATACCCCATAATGTCAACATAAAAGAAGTTAGTTTTGAAATCTTTGCAATTTATTAAAAATAAAAACAGAAAAATACCGCTCCAAAAATGTACTGCAGCCACTCCTCTATAAAGTCTACAGGAGATTTGTTTTTTCAGGGAGGCCTATGATTCGAATATTATTTCTCCTAAGCCTGTTTTCTAGGTCTTCCAACCAGGTATCATTCACTGCCAGTTGTTTCTGATGGAATTTGGAGGATTGTTGCACAGGATGCAGCTGACCTTCCACCTTACTAATCCTATCTTCTGCAGCCACCATGTGTTCCCTTTAGTTCTGCATATCTTGACGAATTAGTAATACCTCTTCTTGGAGGCTACCGAATCCCCAAGTGAGGTTAGTCAGGGTGAACTTACATGATGTGATGGCATGCATGATATCAAAGAGTGTGGGCTCAGTGTTTGATATATGGGCAGAAGGCTGCTCTAGTATGCCATCTGTACTTACTGTGATCTTAAAGTGGGACTATGAGGCTGAATCCTCCTCCCAGGCCAGAGAACACACTGGAGCCAGATCTGATGATTCTGAGGTGGGAGTAGGATCTGAAGAGGTGGAAGGGCTCGGATCTTTCGCCGGTGTACGGGCAAACCGCTCCAGATGGGCTGCAGAGTCTCTCAGGTTGTCTTTCACAGATCTCTGTGGGACAGCCTCAGTGCCATTGTGTTTAGGCCTAGTGGAGGAGGGCTGCAGTGTTTCTCAGCTTGTCTTTCACGCATCTCTGTGGGAAAGCCTCAACGCCATCTTGTTGAGGCCTAGTGGAGGAGGCCTTGTGCTCTTTATTTTTTTTGTCACATTTAGGATAACTGGAAACACCTCTACTGGGAGCAAAAGAAGATCTAGAGAGGAGTATCTTGCTGGTAAGTCATTTTTCCAATGAAGGATTAGCCCGATACAGGATGGGTGTTGCAGCATACGGTTAGAGAGCTCTCACCTGTGCTGCCTCTCACATCTCCATTCAAGCCATGCCCCAAATTAGAAGTTTCTGATGAAAGTAAAACCTAGAGAGACCTGAAAAGTTCTTATATGTCCCCAAATAGTATCAATATGCTAGAAAAGGCCATTGCTGTTCTCTGGAAATTTTTCAACAAAAGCGCTTGATTAAATACACAAGGCTTGAAGACGATTATTAAAAGATCTACTAATAGGCCTATGCTTATCAGAGCCTTTCTGCTCAGTTTACTTAAAAACCCTTAAAGGAAGTGGGCAATGACAACAAATCCATGACTTCACAATTCCAGAAGTTACCTTTAACTACCATGCTTAAATAGAAACTTAGGAAAGAAATTTTACAAACTATGGCTTCCTTAAGGTAACACTCAAGCTGTTTGGCAAGCGAAGGGGAAG